TGTTGATTTTTAGGGATTTAAAGCCTAAAAAAAAATTACCTTGAAATTTGGATTGAGAGAGATGGATGTAGTTGCACTAATATGATGATGCTAGCAGGATAGAAGTTGAAAAATGAGTGAAATCTGACTTTAAACCGTTGATTTTGGGCAAAAAGAAGATTTGAGTGAAGAAAGAATGAGAATGGCGGGTGAGTGTTTTTAAGGGATTTGGGCAAAAATGTTGATTTTTAGGGATTTAAAGCCTAAACCTGACAGGGGGTATCAGTACCCTTATAGGGGTATCGATACACATTCAAAGAGGGTATCGATACACGTTGAAGGGGTATCAATACCTAGTGCACAAAAATGTCAAAAATCTGTATTTTTCTCATATATCTAAAATTAATAATGTTCAATCAAACAAATCTATCCTTAAATTTTATTTGAACATAATATTAATTTTCTCTAAAGATCATAAACTCCCCCTAACTAATAGCAAAGAATGCAATCAAAAGTATTATTTTTATAAGTATTTTTCATTCTTAATTAAAAGTGCTAAAATTATTTTAAATACTAAGTGAAGATAGGTCAGTTAAACCTAATTCTCTTCTAAGTGTCCAAAATCTTTCTTTGTCTAAAGTTTTTGTAAAAATATCAGCTAATTAGTGCAAAGTATAAACAAATTCTATAACTACATCTTCTTTAGCGACATAATCTCTAATGAAATGATGTTTAATTTCAACGTGCTTAGTTCTAGAGTGTTGGATGAGATTTTTAGTGAGACAAATAGCACTAGTATTGTCACACTTGATAGGTATGGTACTTACTTCAATTCCATAATCTAAAAGTTGTTGTTTCATCCATAAAACTTGTGCACAACAACTACCAGCTGAAATGTATTCCACTTCAGTGGTAGATAATGCAACATAATTTTGTTTCTTTGAAAACCAAGAAATCAACATATTTCCTAGGAATTGACAAGTATCGGAGGTGCTTTTCCTATCTATTTTGCATCCTCCATAATTCGCATCAGAAAAAGCATGCAAGCTAAAGCTAGAGTCTCTAGCTTTACCGTTTTTTAAAACAAAACATTTACATCCAAAATGATGAAATTAACTAATGTTAGGCTTTTTATTTTTGAAAAGTTCATATGGAGTTTTCTTTAAAATTGGCCTAATTATTACTCGGTTTATAACATAACAAGCGGTATTTGTGGCTTCTACCCAAAAATATTTTGGCTGATTGTTTCACAAAGCATGGTTCTAACCATTTCTTCTAAAGTTCGATTTTTCCTCTAAATATCTCCATTTTGTTGAGGGGTTCTGGGTGCTGAAAAATTATGGTTAATACCATTATAATTACAAAAATCAGTAAATCCAAGATTTTCAAATTCAGTACAATGATCACTCCTAACACTAGTTATGGAGTAACATTTTTCGTTTTGGATTACTTTTGAAAACGTGATGAATTTTTTTAATGCTTCATATTTAGTACTCAAAAATAGAACCCAAGTATGTCTAGAATAGTCATCTACCAATACAAAACAATATTGTTTTCCACCCAAGCTAACAGTCCTGATTGGCCCAAAAAGATCTATATGGATCAATTATAATACTATACTAGTTGATACATCATTAATGGACTTAAAGGAAGCTCTTTGATGTTTTCCTTTAGCACAAGCATAATAGATTTTATCTTTATCAAGTTTTAGCTTTGGCAATCCTCTTACTAAATCTCCTTGAATTAGTCTTTGTAAAACACTCATGCTAGTGTGTCCTAGTCTCCTATGCCATGACCAACTTTCATGTTCATCCTTAGCAATTAGGCACAAGATAGTCATATTTATTGTATCTAAATGCACCGTGTAAATGTTTCCTATTATATGACCAACAAGCATAATCCGATTAGATGTAATGTCAACAATTTTACAACCATTTATTTCGAATAATACATTGTATCCTTTATCACAAAATTGACTAATATTCAATAGATTACGCTTTAACACATTCACATATAATAATTTTTCTATTTGTATGGAAGAGGTATTACCTATAGTACCTATACCTTCAATGTAACCTTTTGAGTTGTCACCAAAGTTTACCACTCCTCCATATTTGTCGATAAGCTCTATAAACCGGCTCTTGTCTCCGGTCATGTGTCTTGAGCATCCACTATCAAGGAACCATGAATTTGAACTTGTATTTTTCGCCTTGTAGCAATTTTACTTTTCCTACAAACAAAGTTTAATTTTTTATTCTTGGTACTCAATTTCTTTTGGGTCCATATTCATTAGTTTCTAAAATCCTAGTCCGCTTGGGTATCCATTTGTGTAGGATATCCTTATTTTTAGTAGCAATGAGTTCTTTAGGAACCCATATACTTCTAACGATTTTACCATTAGAGGTTCTTTGGGGACCTCTATGATTGTAGTTTTTAAAACGTTTTCTAACAAAGTTGGATTTTGAACATTCTCCATTTTCAAAACATTTTGTTCCAACTTTATTGAAAGAAGGAATAAGATCATCAATTTCTTTTTGATGATCGTCATGAACTCTTGAAAGTAAGTTATGCAAATCAATATTTTTCTTTTCAAAATCTTTGATTTTGATTTGCAATTCTTTAATTTTACTTTCAAGATCATTGTTGGTCTTGGATATGAGATCATTTTCTTTTTTTAATTTTGAAATATCATTTTTGTGTTTCAAAAATAATTTCTCATAATCCAAAGCCAACCCAGTATACTCCTCTACTAACTCATCAAAAGAATAATCTTCGAAATCAAATGAATTAGAGGTTACTTGAGACTCTTCCCCGATGGCCATCAAGCACATGTTTTCTACTTCTTGTTCCTCTTCATTTGATGATGATTCATCATCACTCCAAGTAGCCACGTGTGCCTTGTGCTTCTTCTTGGATTGACCTTTTTTCTTTAATTATGGGCAATCGTATTTGACATGCCTGGGTTTTTTGCATTCATAGCAAATGATCGGGTCCTTCTCATTTGGTTCATTTTTGAAGCCTTTATTTCTTTTTAATTTTCTTCCTCTGTTGGGCTTCATTAATATTCTGAACCGTTTGGGAAATAATGTCATTTCCTCGTCATCGTCATCTTCATCCGAATCACTCTCATCTTTTGTGGATTTGAGAGAAACTCTAGCATTTTTCTTCTTCTCCGTCTCTTTCTTTGTTTCGTCCCTTTTCTCGAGGTCTTCCTCATCTTGAAGCATCATTTCATGTGTAAGGACAAAACCAATTAGCTTATCGAGGGTTAAGAATATTAAGTTTTTAGCCTTGATGATCGTCTTCTTCTTTGATTGCCAAACTTTTGGAAGAGAATAAACTAACTTCCTTACAAGCTTCACGTTTGGAATGATCTCTCCATATGATTTGAGATCATTGAAAATCACGGAAAATCTATTTGTCATAGCTTTGATGTCTTCATCCGGTTTCATCCTGAAAATTTTATAGCTATGAGTTAGAAGACTAATTTTAGATTCTTTTACCTCGTTTGTGGCTTCATGAGTGACTTGTAGTTTATCTCATATCTCCTTGGAGGTTGTATAAGATGAAACTCTCATGTATTCATCTGGTCCAAGAGCACAAAAAATAATATGGACATCCTTTGAGTTGGATGGAACATTCTTGTCTCTCCTTCACTCCACAATCTTGAATGAGTGGAAGGTATGATGTATCCGTATTCTATGATATTCCATGCTCCCATGTCACTTTCTTGAATGAATTACCTCATTCTATTCTTCCAATAAGCATAATTTTCTCCATTGAAGAAAGGAATCTTGTTAACAGGCATTGAATCAAGACCAAAGTCGAAGTTTGAAGTGGAGGCCATTTATGACTTGAATATCGATATAACTCTTCCCGAATCGACTCAAGAGGTGGTTAAAACTTCAAATGAGTGAGGCTCTGATACCAATTGTTGAGTTGATCGATTGACGAATCGGCCAAGAGGGGGTAAATTGGAAATTAAAATTTTGGTGGAAGTTGTTTCAGAAAATAGAAAATATTTGCACAGCGATTTAGAGTGGTTCGACTTTCTAAACCAAAGTATACGTCCACTACCTTAGCTATCCACACTAAGGATTTCCAACAAATTTACTAATTTTTTCTTTCTTTTGAGGATAAAGAGTAACATTATAACTCCCTCAAGAATTATACCCCAAATTCTTGTGAACACTCTCTCTCAAAGAAAAATACACAAATTTGCAAACTTACAGAAAAACCTCTCAAGGCAAGATGTTTGCACAATTCTAGAACACAGAAAGAACACTCAAGGATGAATACAATTGAGTACAAATGGTGTTCTTGAAAGCAAAATGAATATTGAATGAAAAATAAGCTTGAATTGCTCAAACTTGATGTTTAAGGCTCTCTTTGATTCTCTCTCAATTCTTGTTGATCAATGGCTTCAGAACTTGTTTATATACACCTTGGATTGATTCTAGCCATTGGGAATCATTTGGGTGATGTTAGAGTCGTTAGCAGTGTAAAATTCAAATATTTTGACCGTTAAATGACTAGGGGTATCGGTACCCATTGGGCATTATGTTTTTTTCGGAGCCAAAATCGGCATAGGGGTATCAGTACCTCCCTATTTAAAACTTATTTTTGGCTCGATTAAGGCTCGAAATACTTTGTAAAAATTGTTTTAAAAATATTTTAAGATTGAAACAAAATTTTACTCTTAAGTAAGGATTGAAATTGACATTCGAAAAACTTAGAGTAATATTTTGATATTCGAATAATTTAATCGAATATATAATTTAAAATATAAAATCTTAAAATTCATTAACACTTAATTTGTTATATCGAAACATCAAAATGTTTTCAACACACCATTTCTTTGAGTTCTTTTTTTCTTCTAACAATGATCTCCAAAGCAATGAAATTGGTAGCAAATCTAGTAGTCCCTGGCCGTAAAAGTTCTATACCGTTGGTATACCTCTTCATATAATCAATTGTCCATGTATGATTGTATATGAAAGAAGTGATCCATTTTTCTTGATCTAAGACATTTTCACACTTTTTTTGTTACCAATTTCTTCCAAAATAAGATCCAAACAATGAGCAGAACATGCTGACCAATACATGTGCCTTCTATTTTGCATCAACATCTTACCACCGGCTTTGATTGTTACTTCATTATCTGTAACAAATTGAACAATAAAATTTTCACCAATTTCATCCACCATTTTTTCCATTATATCAAAATAATACTCAGCAGTACGATAGGTGATATTGCTAGCAGCAATTGATTTTCTAAAGATGGTATCTCTTGGACTATAAATCAAGAAATTTATTATATGTTGATTTCTAGTCCCTTTCCACCTATCACACATGATGGTCACACTTCTTTCTTCCCAAATAGACTTAAACTCTTTCACCCGTTCTTGTATTTCTCTGAACTCTTCTTCCAAATACACTCCTGTCACCTCATAAGTTGAAGGACCCCTAACTGATTTTCCAACTTCAACTGCAACTTGAAGTATGGGTTGTAGAAATGGTAACTCTACAATTCTTGTTGGTAAAGCTTCATGCAATATTAATTTTGAAATTGCTTTTCCTAGCTTTACTTTTGCATTTTTCAAAAAGCTTGCAGCGAGTTTTGGTTGCTTCGAACTCTTTTGATTTTTCGAGAATGGGATCCATATTTGCCAATCTAGCTCCAGGAAAGTCAGAATTACTCCACTAATGTTCACTCCCACTTCTTTTAGAATCAATGGTACTGAATGATCTTCTGAATTCTCGAGATCCAGAAGTACTACCTCCCCCAAGTACATTAACTGAATCTTCACCAGTTCTTGCTCTTCGACGTTGTATTTCTTTCCATTCCATTTTGAATCTTATACTTTCTTGTCTTGCAATAGTCAACTCTTCATCCTCGGAATCATTATTATCATAATTTCCATGATCTCCTAATATTATTATTTCCTCTAATTCTTCTTTCTTCTTCTGCTTCAAAGCTTTTTAATTGTGAAATTCATGTAGTTGTTGAGGAATGTTTTTTCTAACTTCGGCCGAGACATTTGGCCAAGGTGCTACATTCCCTTTTTTTGCAGGCAAATGCTCTTTCAATCTCGTTATTCCTCCTTTAATAACTTTATCACAAAATTCGCATCTAACATTATTACGATGACCATCAACAGGTTCTCCCCACCTCAAACCATAATCATCACTAGGAGCTTCACCTTCTTTACTTTTTGAACGTGACATTTTTTCTTATACAAGCACATAAACTAATTTGATAGAAAGGCTTAATGACCAATTGGACATTCTTTATATATTTTTAAACAAATAAAATAAATTTATAACTAACTCCAAAAGATATAATAATTTCATAACAATCCTATAATAATCCTAAATTCAACTAATAAGATAAATTTAATTTTTAAACTAAATAATAACCAAAACAATGATAATATAACTTACTTGTTTCACTTCAATGTTGAGTTAAGATGAACCACGAACAAGACTTGAAGTTGGAATGAAAGGGGAAAAATTGATCTCTTAAAATGGTGGAGAAAAAAATAATTTTTTTGAAGAACATGTCTCTTGAAAATGTGGAGAAGATGAAGATGAAAGGTTTACACTTTGAAACTAAAGTTTCTCGGCTTCATCCCATTGACTTCTTTACTTCTTACTTTGGTTGTGAATTTTTTTAATATTTTGATTTTTAAATTCATTTTTTTCAATTATTTTTAACACTTCCAAACAAATTCTCTACTATTTTCTTTAGTACTTTCTTACACACCTACATCATCTACTACATACTTTACTACTTTTACTTGCACTTTGAAACTAGAGTTTCTATGCTTCCTCCCGTTGTCTTCTTTACTTCTTACTTTGATTGTGAAATTTTTAATATTTTGATTTTTAAATTCATCTTTTTCAATTATTTTAACACTTCAAAAAATTTATCTACTATTTACTTTAGTACTTTCTTACACACCTACATCATCTACTACATGCTTTACTACTTTTACTTACACCTTTTTTTGTCAAATTTATTTGTCCAAGAATCATATATATAATTTTCTTTATAATACTATTTTTTATTTACATGTATTTTTTATTTTATATTATTTTGTATTATGAATAGGTACATCAATCCAACCAAACGTTCTAGTTTTTATGGCTGAGCAATCCATTATATATATATAGAATAAGAAGAAATATTTTTGTTACTTCTTTAAATTCAATTTAAAAATATTGTATCATAAAATGAAATTTTCTTTTATGTAAAAGTTTTATAATAATAAATAAACATAAAATTATGATATTTTATGTTAATTTAAGAATTTAATTTAAAATTAATTCAATCAATTTTAACTATGAGAAATAATTCAATTTAAAGAAAAATTGGTTTAATTTTAAAATAACGTGAATAAATAATTTAAATAATTCATATTTAATTTACTAGTTTTAAACATAACTATTACAATATTACTAATGATATATATTTATAATCCATTTTTAAGGATTAAATGAAAATATTTCATCTATGTAGTTTTATATTTCGGATAATTTAAAAGTTTGTTGCAGTATTGTGGCGTTGTGGTACAATTTATAACTTTTTGCAGTGTTACCAAACGGTTTTAGACCGCAACAGTTGTGATACGGTTTTTATCGCCTTGCACTGATATTGCATCGCGGTGACCTTCAAAATCGTTACGATGCGGCCGTTACACTGCGTTGCAGTCGCAATTTAGTGCCATGCTATGTGCATCAAGGTTGGAGTTAAAACCTCAAGAATCCAAATGTTGCCAACGAACTCCAAGATGTTATCATGGGAAGCTTATGATGAAGACATTTCTTCTCTAGGGGTAAGTTAAACTATCACGGCTCTTGGACTCTTGGATCAGATTAATGTCATGAGAGATAATAGTGACTACATGTGGTACACAACCAGGTAGGCATTGTATTTTTTATACACTTGAGATTTAATATTTAGTTTAAATCGGTCAAGGCAACCGGCTCATAAAATGTTTTTTCTTGATTAAATTTCATTCCAGTGTTGACATTAGTCCATCAGAATCGTTTATAAGAGTATGAAAACCCACTCTCAATGTCTTCATCAATGGACAGTTCTCAGGTTGGTTCTAGATTTACTCATCAAGTAAAATAGTTAACCTACATTACATACAAAGAGCAATGTACTATTATATCTTCATAAGTCATACTGAGGTGTAAGATACATTTATAGGTCTGCATATGGAACTATGGAAGACGGGGCATTCGCATACACAGGACCAGCGGACCTACATGCCGGAACAAATCGCATTGCACTTCTCAGTGTAGCTGTTGGATTGCAGGTTAGTTGCTCGATGTTGAGAGAGTTCAACACTCTCGTATTTGACAAGAAGAGATTTAGAAAATGATAATACTTTTTCATTTCTTTCATTAATCACATACACTCCTTATAGCATTCAAGATTACAAGATCTTATCAAGATTACAAGAACTCAAATAATTGTAACTGCTCTAACAAGACTCAAAACTGATTAACAACATTAACTGTTGCATCTACAGAGGCTGCATCCTGTTGCACTCGTGGCTCTAACAGCTCGTATATGCTAGCCATTGATCAATCACGTACGAACACATCAGCATGTTTCCTCAACATGCAACGTGCTCCTTTAACATACTTCAACATTCTCCCTACTTTCTCTCTTATCCTTGTCCTCAGCACAGTTTCACACACAGCTTGGCACGAAACTCTTCAAAAGCATTTCAAGCTAAAGGCTTAGTTAACCCATCAGCTATCTGATGAGCACCAGGAACATAATTTACTCTCATCAGCTTGGCTGTAACCTTATCGTGTACAAAATGTATGTCAAGGTCAACGTGTTTGGTGTGCGCATGATACACATGATTCGCTCTAAGAGCTACATCACTGGTGTTGTCGCACCATATGATGGGTTCCTCTTTCTAACAGACACCAAGCTCAGTCAGCAAGGCTCCAATCCACACCACATCTGTAGCAGTGTCCACTACGCTCTTGTACTCGGCCTCCATGGTTGATCGCGACACAAATTTTTTTTTTTGAACTCCAGGCTACCAAGTTATTGCCAACAAACACGCTATGTCCAGAAACTGACCTCCTATCATCGAGGTTGCCACCCCAATCTGCATCTGCAAAGGCAACCACCTTCACACCCGATCCTATAGTAGTGAACACCAACCCGAAATTCACCGTGCCAACCAAGTATCGCATGATTCGTTTAACTACAGCCATATGCGATTGTCGTGGAGCATGTGAACTAGCTTTCTCAAGGAGTTCCATGATGAACTTCTTTTGTAACAATGTTAGGTAGTCATTGGTTCTTTTAACCTCAATTCCCAGAAAGTACGAGAGCTACCCCAAGTCCTTTAGTGAGAACTTATCACTCAGTAGTCGAACAACTTCATCGACTCTAGCACTCAAGTGACTAGTGATGATGATATCATCAACATAAACTAGTAGGTACACATAGTGTAGGCCCTTCTTCTTAATAAACAGAGATACATCAGCTCTTGATTCTCTGAACCCTATGCTCAACAAGCTATCTCGTAATTTGGTATGCCAAGTCCTGGTGCTTATCTCAAACCATACAGTGCCTTTTTTCAGACAGCACACCTGTTTACTTCCATCAGAGGCATTTTGTTCGTAGCCTTATGGCTGCTGCATGAATACCACCTCCTGAAGGTCACCATTCAGGAAGGCATTATTCATATCAACCTTCTTTAAGGTTTAGTTGTTCGTTACAGCCAATGACATGATGACATTCAGCGTGTTGAACCTAACTACGGGGCTAAAAGTATCCTTGAAATCATGGTCTGGAATCTGGGAGAAAACTTTAGCCACCAACCGTGCTTTGTAACGGTGAACAGTGTCATCAGGGTTCCTCTTGACCTTGAATAGCCATTTGCATCCTATCACCTTCCTACCTTCTGGCAGTTTCGTTAACTCCCAAGTGCCATTGCGTTGTAAAGCATTATACTCTTCAAAAACTGTTGTCTTTCAATATGGTGAATGAAGTGCTTCGTGTACACTACATGGAACATCATCATCTGTAGCTCCTAGGTATATTTTGGGTTTAAAAATCCCACTCTTGCTCCAAGTCATCATCGGATGATTATTGACCCGAACGACCTCATTTTTAGCTTCTTAATTTATGGTCTAGCTATGCACATCTTGTTCCTCTATGTCAGTGCCATCATTAATGGACGAGCTATGGGCATTTTGTTCTGAGTGTACTTCATGCTGATGATCTTCAAGAGTATCAATTGTAGGAACTTTAGGAGCAAACTCAGTTCGCACCACATCACGACTGGCAGTTGTACCTTGTAGGTTGCTCGTCGGTCTGTTGCTGCTAGCACTTGGTGACAACCTGTTACTATCATGTCGTTAAGGCTTAAAATTTGCAACATCAGTGACTAGTTTAAGTGACTGAGATGTCTGCCCAATTAAAGCTGCTACAGGAGTTCCAGCAGAGTTTCCTGCAAAAGGAAATATGTTTTCATTAAATATCACATGTTTGGAAGTGTAAACACGCCCATTGCTTGTTAAGCACTGAAATCCTTTGTGTTGCGAGCTGTATCCTAAGAATGTACACAGCTGGGATCTAAACTCGAGCTTGTGCTGAAGAAATAGCCTTAAATGCATAAAACACCTACATCCAAACACCCGTAGTCTACTAGAGTATGGTATTTTCCCATGAAGCATCTTAAATGGAGATTTGTCTAGAAGCACCTTTGATGGCAGTTTGTTAACAAGGTGCATTTTGTTTTGAATAGAATAAGGCCAGAATTTAATAGGCATGCAGGCTTGTGCAAGCAATACTAAAGCCATCTCAACTAGGTGTCTATGGTTTCGTTCCACTAGTCCATTCTGCTCGGACGTATGGGGACAAGTGAGACGATGAGTGACTCTAACTTTGCTTAATTCCTCAGTCAGAGGACGAAACTCACCTCTCTAATCAGTTTGGATAGCTTTGATTGTTCCACCGAATTGCGTAGCAACCAGCTTCTTAAATAAGCGAAAAGCAAATAAGGCTTCATCTTTTTTTCTTAGCAGATACAACCACGTGAAACGTGTGGCAGCATCAACAAAGGAGATATAAATCCTGAAGCCATTAGATGATACGTGTGGAGGTCCCCACAGATTAGAATACACGAGCTCGAATGGTTTATTGTAAACACTGTCCGAGCGAGTGAATGTTAACTTGTGGCTTT